TCCCTAATCATGCCTCCATATAATCACACTGATTAGATAGTTGGGGCTCCGCTGTTATATACACCTTTCCTTGTCATCGGTTAAGCCTCCTCGCGGTAGGATGAATTCGCAATGTTCAGGCTGATATTAGCTGTGACATGTACACACGCACTCATACAAACACACATTGATACAGACACAGGCACTCATACAGACACACACACACACACACACACACACACACACATCACATGTCATACATAAAGTGACACAAGTACACCAGCGCATCAACACATACACACACACACACAAACACACACACACGCAAACACACACACACACACGCAAACACACACACACACACACAAACACACGCACACGCACACGCACACACACACGCACACGCACACGCACACGCACACACACACACACAAACACACACACACACATACACACATATATAGAGACCGTACGCAATGATACAACTTTCCTTGACAATTCATTTTCATTTTCTATATCTTTTATTTTACAACTAAGATTTCATCTCCTTTGTAATAGATTCAACATATAACTGACAACTGACATTTTATGCTTCTTCATTTTTATTAACTTTCCATATTGGTTTCGTTTAGGATCTCGTGTTTCATTTGATTCCTCGCAAGTATTAATCCTTAACATTTGCACTCGATACCATCTTACGTTACATTTAAATACACTTTAATCAATTCTCTTTCATTTTATCCTTCCCTGACGTCACTAACATATACCTCGGACAAACAAACATTAATTAGAATTGATTTAGTATTGCTAAATACTCTTTGAATCTCGACAAAATATTATCTGTATGTCATTCTGCTTAGTTGGATTACCGATCAATAGGGATGTGGTTAATGCTATATTAACTATATCTTTATAATCAATTACTAAATATTTTATTAATAAGTAAAAGTTATATGAACTATATCTACATAATTAATTAGCTAATGACTAGGTGACCGCTACGCCTGAAATCACATTTCATAATTAAGTTCAAGTCGCTTCATTATGATGTAAAATGGGATGATAATTGATAACATAAATATTTCAGCATGAAACACACACACACACACACACACGAACACACACACACACACACACACACACACACACACATGAACACACACACGAACACACACACACACATGAACACACACACACACACACACACACACACATTCTACGAATTAATCAGAACTCTGTAATGACTCTATCATTATCCTCATCATAATTTTTCTATAATTGTTATTATCATTGTTATTACCATTATAATTATTACTATTATTATCATT